TATAGTGAAAGCTCTAATAAGCGGACAGTCACGGTTCCACATAAAATGTCCGGTTATGGGAGGTGTCCGCATAATAGCCTATAATGTATTTAATTAAAAAGAAATAATTATTTTCAACTTTTTTATTGTCTATATGGAGTTTATTCCTCACACGCATGTGACTTCTTTGGTTTAGTAGTGGGTACAGCTCGCTGGTTATGTGTTTTGCCCTGTTGATCGTTGTCGTCACATGAGTATGTAGAACAATACCCAAATACGTGACTCCATGGCCCCATTGAACATCTTCTCCGTCTAGGTTGATGTTTCCATCAACCCTGTCGCGCTTCCTTCCAATAAGAATGGTTCTTTTTTGCGTTAAGCTTCATTCTCCACTTGATGAACCATTTCTGTTCAACGATCTCGATCAACTCACGATCAAAATGTCAATCAATCAAATCTCAATAAACGAGTATCTTTCAGCCAATCATTGCGAAGTAGTTTTTGCAAAATACTGAAAGTATAAAACCCGCGTTTGAGCAAGTAACTTTAGGCAACGACCATACCACGTTGAATAATACCGGTTCTCGTCCGATCCATGAGGGCCTCACTCAAATATTCAAGGTCAGACCAAGATTTTGATTGCGGCCAGCGCCACCTACTGCTGTTCACAACGCAACTCACTCATAAATGAACATCCCCGAGAGGGCGGCATGACGAGGATTACAGCGTGGGTGCTGATTTCAAAAACGCTGATTTGCATTTTTTGCGAGGCGTCTTTCTGGTATCAGAGAAAAGCGTTGGTTCTTGCAAAGTTTTTTGCTTTCTGCGATCAATAATTTATTAAAACATGAGTTTAAGGCCTTTGCTGTGTGCCTCAGTGCGATGATAGATGTTCTAGAGGGACTAGCTGCTGTATTACTAGAGTAATTTACATATTGATTGCTGGATGACGCCAGCATGGTGCAGGATCTCACATTTTTCGGATTCAAATTATAACACAATAAAACCACAATATTTTCAGGTGTCGACTTCCTAGAAATGAAAATTTGAGAAGAATTTGGATCAGACGGGCGGGATGTGAGGATTTAGTGGCAAAATTGAAGTTTTGCAGTGTATTTATGTGCTCTAGACATTTCCACGATGTGTGTTTCTAGGCAAACGGTAGATTATTAGTAAATTGTCTCCCCACAAAATACCTCCCAGGTATGTTTAAATAAGACTAGCCTATGTCTTGTCTTGTTAATCTGTGTGTTTGACATCAAAATGTCAATCAATCAAATCTCAATAAACGAGTACCTTTCAGCCAATCATTGCGAAATAGCTTTTGCAAAATACTGAAAGTATAAAACCCGCGTTTGAGCAAATTTCTACAGGCAACGACCATACCACGTTGAATAATACCGGTTCTCGTCCGATCATTCGACCACAAAATATCCCCCCTGTATATAGGGGGTATGTTCTGTGCATTCGACTCTTGGCAGGCAGGTAGAACGGTCGCATCTTGTGAGTCAGCCAAATCTTGTGAAACGCAGGGTGTCATTCATTGTTCCGGGGAGTTTTCGAACTGACGATTTTAGTTTTTCGCCAATTTTCCAGTTCTTTTGGAGCGGATATTTTGATTTTTTTTTAAATATCTCTGTTGACTGGATCAAACACTTCGCGACAAAGTGCTGTTAAATAACATGGCGGACATCTCCGCCAATCGTGAGTCGCGCGAAGCCCCTGTGGCTGCCACGGACAACGAGGACAATGCGACCGTAGTGTCGATTGCATCGCACAGCTCTAATTCGAGCAGTGTCGCTGAGCTTAACGCGTTTGCAGGTCTTGCAGAGGAGAAATCAGAAAGATTCAGGCAAATCTGCAGCCTCCTCAAAAAGCATCCGAGCTGTGCGCGTTGTTCAGTGCTTTCGGCGGAGCTAGGTGCAGCATATACCACCAACAAACCCCTTAGGTGGTCACTGGTGGTAAATCACATGAATAGTGACCACCCCAACGCTACGCGACGAAGAACCGTACAAGCGCAAGTCGGTACCGTACCGATTCAAAAGCGCAAATTTGAAGCGGTAAGCCCAAAAAAGCCCGCAAACCTGAACAAAAAATCCAAGCAGCCAACGGAAACTCAATTGGCTGAAAAAGAGCCAGCCGTGATTGGTTCAACCGTAGCCATGGACCAATCACCAGCGCCGACTGTGGACCTTCCAGGCGACAATTGCGAACCTTTCAAAGTGCCGAGGAAGACAATATCGTGGAAGAGTATTATGACC